TTGAACCCATCGATGTATTTCAACGGATGAGTAAACGAGTATTTCGGGGATATGGAAATCTTCAATCGAAGTAGAGCAAGTACGCATTGACCTTCTGTTTTCAAATAAATAATGAGGCCTATACTCAGCAAGCATCTTAGTTGATAGATAACGAAATCACATTATGACATAACTTGTTTCGAAAGATAACTTTAAAGCTTTATTGGTACATGTAGTTAAAGGAGTTTTAGTTTTTCAATTAGAATTATATTGTATATGCAGAATAATTGCATTTACTAAAAGTAAAACTTTAGCGTAGTTACACGATAATCCAGCTACAGAATAACAACGTTTTACATATGAAAAACAACAAACTTCCTTAACAAATGTCTATACCTTATGCAAATTAACCTGAAACACTACAAGATGCTTTCTCTAGGACTAATTCAGTATCTCCCAAAACACATTTCCAGTTAAAATCGATTTTAATTCATCAACTATTAAAACAAACGATAGCTGATAATAGTCTTGTCTCGAAATTCAAGAATTTACAAATTATGAAATCGTTTTGAAAATCCAGTGGAGGGTATAATACTGATCAAAATGCAAATAATCTTATCTCCTATTCCCTTCCTATCTGTGAAGACTTCATATGTTATGTATCATACGTGATCAAGTGGGTAGAAGCACATTATGCCTCAGAAACAAATAAAATTTTACTTCGTTAGAAAGGATAAACATGAACTTTAAATAATGATTGTAGAGAATGTTAGTACTTGTTACATTAAGAAAGTAGCAATAAATGTGAATTAATTTGTCATAAAAGTAGCAAAATGTAACCACAGTAGTATGTATTTTGACTTCTATACAAAATACTGATTTTCACTGTAAGTGTACTTATTGCCGAAAAGCAACAGTTGCAAAAGATGGTTATTGGCCAGGAGCAACTTTTTGGATACTATAAAAGTACATCACAATTAAAAAAGCATTATGGATATTTATGACTGTTGACTAAAAATCACTTGGCACTTACCACTATGGGTCAAAATTTAATTTAAAAGAAAAACAGTTGTGATGTGATGTGCACGGGTTAGAAAATAGTCATCTTGCATAACTGCAAAGCGCTAAATGTCATTCGTTAAAAAACAATGTTATTTTTAATTCTTGATTTCAAAATTAATATAGTTTTTTATTTACAATCTTTAAAATTTAAAGCTGTAATACACTTCAATGACTTATTGACGTGTTTTCATGCATATATACATTGTATTTATTTGTTTACAAAATGATTGTATGGAAAAATGGTGCCTCAGTGTGAGTGAATGGAAGATTTTGAATGTTATTCGCGATTAGAACAGTTTTATTGTTTTCTGCTGGCATTTTATGATACTTATCTTCAATTTTACTTTGAAAAACCAAAATGCAATCGAATTTGTCTGCTGTTTTTGGAAAAAAAAGACCTGTACAATTTTTGGTCGTTTTGAAAATTATAATTTCGTCTATAGATATATATTTATTTCAAAACAAAATAATGAAACTTAATTTGCTAGAGCTCTTACTTTATAATTAAATGATATTGGCAGAGTTATTAGAAATTGCGGCTTAAAAGAACTCCACTAAGGTCCAAAAACCTAAAAACATAAAATTTCAATTCCTTACTTAGTGCTTTGGCACTTAAAAACAGAAAGATATGCAAAAGATAGATATTCTTAGCCCGTTTTGAGTACAATTAGATTAATAATTCTATAAGAATGGAGTGAGCTTTGGTCTGAAATTTTGCACACAAGATATTGTTCTGGAACCTACTGTCAATTTTAATCAAAGCACCTTTATCCCTTAATAATCAATTTTAATTGCATATCCTATAAACTTTCAAATTAAATTTGAAACTTAACTCTCTTTTATATTGATTAGCTTTTTAACGGTGTCAAATTTTAACTAACACTGTCTGGCGTTAAAGTACTTATTATTCCTTTCATTGTCTTCGCCGACATCAGACATGAAACGATACCTGCTACAATCCGGATTCATATTCTGTATTATTTTTACAATATATAGAAATATTTATTACTCAGTAGAGAGCCATGATTTTAAGACTCGTAAAATCTGAACAATTGTCCCATAAATTTTGATTTTAATAAAATTTTAAGTGACATCTAGCCGTAAATGTCATAAATTGGATATTTAACGACGAGTGCAAATGCCATTAAACATGCTTATTGACAGACAATGATTGATGCGCTACCGGATATCCGGTACCGAGGAGTCACATTTGCAGACGATTAAATTGAAGGAAAATCCCATTATCTGGAATTGCACATTCTGCAATGAAATATTCATCTCACAATATCAGTAAACAGTAGTGATTGAACAATATTAAATTTAGAACCAGCTTCATTGTTGTTGCTTTTTTGAAATGAACAAAAGGATATGTCAAACTTAAAAAATCTGCAGATTCAACATATAATGTGTATTAAAGTCAATAGTTGAGATGTCCTCAATTTATTTCAATAATCACAAGTTATTTTCGTTAAACGTGCGAGTACATATAAAAGAAGTGATCTCTCGGACGCAAAGACAGCAACGAACTTATTTAATTGCAGAATCAGTTTGATAGAGTCTGCTCAAGAGATTAATCTAAAAAAAAAACTTCTGCCATCAACCACCCCCCCCCCTTCACCGCATCGTCATCTGGAAACTTTTATATTTCATGAGTACTTTACATTTTTTGATTTTCATGTAATTGACTTGAGTGGACTTGATGTCCTTTGCAAGCGTTGAAATATACATTGATATATGGAAACGAGGTTTGTGACAGAACACAGGGAAAAATATAAGTCATGTTTTAATCTTCAGTTAAGAATTTATGTTTGCACTTATTAGTGATCAACATGAAATATAACCTCCGATCTTAGTACAAAACTTCATTGATACAATTATTCTGTTTAATTGTGATTTTGTTCTATTTCAAATCAATGTTTTACTCGAAACAAAGGCATTAGACTTAGAAATAAACATTCTTTGAAGTTAAATATTAAGTAACACGTTAAAATCTTTACTCAATGAATAATCGCACTTGTCATTATGATACGCTAATTTTCCTGCAACCTTGAAGTGTGATTTTCTTTGCCAAGGCTGCTAAATTAACGTTGCTAAAATCAGAAAATAAATATTTCTATTAGAACATTTTAGTAAACAGTTTAGTATTTTCATAAGCTTTATGTCATAAATAAACAAACTATTGTTTGCTTTCAACTATAATCACTGGTAGCCCTTTTTTCTAGGTAAACGTGTTGAAAAGAGGTAATTGACAATAAGGACTACTTTGTCCCCCATAGTGTGAATAAAAGCAATCGCCACAGTATTTTTCCCGAAGCAAAGTTCGTATAATGCGTTTAGAGCGCAAAAAGTCAATATGTTGTTAAGATTTTTTCAATTCTTCATTCTAATTTATTACAACAATTAATGATTTACTAATTTATAACGACAATTAACAATTTTACGTCAGAATAAATGATGACTAATTAACCTGTTTTGACGTCATAATGATTTAAAATAACACGTTTTATTAAAGAGTACTAAACATGTCTTGCTTTGATCTTTATATTTAAACTTGTTTACAAAATCTGGTTTTTCTAAGGAAACTTCTCAAATAACTTTTGACGGGCGTTTTAATTGAACTCAGAAATGTGAAATTAAAAACATTTCATAATTCTATCAGAATTAAAAATTTTTTAATTCTTTCACCAATTAAGTTATTAGTTTAACATTAAAAGATGATAATCCAATTAAAAGAGATTGCATATTTCTTAAGTCTGTACAGTAATAATTTCCTTTAAATACTTTTCAATGAAGGTTTAGATATACTCAGTGTTTGAAACCTTGAAGGCAACCTTTGAAATGTTTTGAGTAGGCTGAGCCTCTTGCATTATTCAGATACTGTCTTTAAATAGTGAATTTGAAATCTAACAATTTGATTACAGATTATTAATTCTGTTTCGTTAACACATGCAAACTACTGCTATTAATTATCGTCTTTTAAAATTATAATAAAGAAATGCGAGAACAGTATTGTGTTTCACTTAACTAAATGAAATTATAAATGTTACAAAACAAGAATTTTTCACCAAAATTAGGTAAAAGACAACATGTTAACATGGAAAAACTAGATTTTGGGTGATTCCAAGGTTTTTCATCATTTTTTGTTAACCTTTTCCCTTATATAAGCGTGTTTCGACGGCTTTTTGCCCCCCCCCCCTTTTTGAGGCCTCAAACAGTGAAAAAATGCCCTATTTAGGCCCCAAACACTGTTTTTCGTTTGCGAAATGTTGTTAAAAAAAGTGACCATTTTTTCGGCGCCGTCCCCCATTCAAATATTACATCAGGGGGTTGCCAGAAGGGGGATGTGCCCCCTTCTGTTTGGGGGGTTTGAAGGGGGGCGGAGTCCCCCTCATCGCCAAGAAAATTTTGGACTTGTGAGACGCTTAAAATGACCCCAGGTCGATCATAAGGTAACGTGTAACCAACGCTGAAAAGCCTTTGACTCTATCTCAATCCCTTGAGAAGTTGCAGCACTTTGAAATAAATTTTGATGGAAAAGATCGAGGCAAAAAAGTGATTTTTGGCAATTTTGAGATGTCCCCTCGTTGCCATGGTGACAGGAAATTTAGGACTGAGCATGTCGTTAGAAAGGCAATGGTCCAGTCATCATTTGTGCCAAGTTTGATTAGAATTGAAGCATTTTTCATAGTTTCATAGCAGTTTGAACTTGTAAGAGGAGGCTTTTCAGTGAAAATGGCCATTTTTCACAATATGCTCATGGGAGAAAGGGTCAGAAGATTAGCAAAAAATGATGTTTAAAAACAATACCAGCTTACGTACGCAAACAAATTAGCAAGCATTTGTTAAGAACAGATGGTTTGGATAAAATAAAGCAAAGCAGGTGGGATGTTTGGAATGGAGAAAACATCCCTAGTACTGCGTACTTCCTCTCAATTTATCAATTACAACCCTAATCAAACTCTTCAAAGCTCTGTTATTTAAATTCAATTTATGAGAAAATACTAGGAACCACGCGATCATTTTTTTCACGGGTTTCGCGCGTTTTATCTGTTGTTGTGTTCTTATGTTTTCTCGAGAAAGCATGTTTAAGAGATATTTTGCTGTCGTGTTGACTTCTCATCCAGTAACTTTTTATTATTTCGAGAAGCATATAAAGTCAGGATATTTTAGTATGTTATAAATTTGGTGTTTTGCAAACAGTGTTTGTGTGGTAATGTTTTAACCTAGACAGAGACTTGGTGATTACTCCCTGATGGATGCTAGTTCTTGGAAATATTAGATCAGAAAATGTTAGGATTACGGTGGAAAAATAAACAACAGTAGGTATTTGTTTGATAAATTTACCCTGTTGTACGTTTGAAAAAAATATATATGAAGAAAACAAAACGCAAAACGTATGAATCAACAAAATATTAATATTAAAAATCAACAACAATAACATACCTTTTTGTAAAACATATATTTTCAATGATAAATAGAAATTCATATAACCAAGCTAAAAAATGTCATTGCATTAAATATATTTACTAGTGAGGAAAAAACAAAATGCAAATAATGGTGATATCAAACGATGGTATATCTGACACTCATCTTAGATGTAGCTCTTATCTTCATCCATCATTATTTGGTAACTGAATATACTTTGAAATAGAGAAAATAAGAATCCCTAAAGTTGTACCATGCTATATTTACAGTTATATCAGAATTGCAAATGAAGCGTAAATGAAATTAATTTTCTATCGTTTAAAAAGTTTGCCATATTACATTACGCTAAGAGAAAGTTAAAAGTTCAAGTTCAAGCTTAAATTACAACGTAGTGCATTCAGTACAACATCTTGTAAATAACGTCATACGTACAGGCAAAAATAGATGACTTCGCGCTTTTAAGTGGTCATGGACATAAAACCTTTCGTAACACTGAAGCAGGCTTGAAAGTTTTAACTAAACCAAATGAATTTTACCCCTTATCATACTTGAATACGATACACTCCCAACATATGGGTCGTTTGTTATCAGTGACATTTTTTATCTTATTCGTTGTTAATTGAACGGACGACGTTGTCTTGAATTTGTTAAATTTAAATAAAGAGACAAAGCTATTTCTGGAATACTCAAATAATTGAACAGTCCCTGGAGATTTGAGACTGTTTGAGTGACGGAATCAATAAACATTTGCACGCAAGTAATACATTTTAACTGCCGGAATCTTTTCTGACCCATTTAGAGATCGTTTGAGTTTAGATACACTTCACACGGTAATTTTAACTCTTAAATACGGCAATGCAATGACGTGATAGAACACATTTAATTGAAGTGTAAAGTACATGTAAATTAATGGTAACATGAAGAAAAAAATACATTATTTTGTTAATTGTACTCTAACGAAGAAACTTCACTTAATTGTCCCATTTAGATCATTCCTTTTTTAAGGCAAACGTTTCTCGTACTGTTTAAAACGGATGCAATGCTAAAGGTTGAACTTTAAAAAAAGCATTTATATGTTCTTATAGAATGGTTTTGTTTTGATTTGGTTTATACAGAATTTATTTTAGTTCAATTGTGCAGGAAGCAATAAGCTTATAGACACATTTTCGAATCCGTTCCTGGACCCAACCAGTACTGAGCAATGAGTGTAAAGTTTCTTGCTAAAGTTTCTTGCTAAAGGTAACAACGACTTGTTTCTTTAACCGACATGTTAAGAGTCCTTCATCAAAGATGGATACTGGTTTTGAAACAGTGGATATATTTTAAGTTAAGAAAAAAAGCATTATAGAAGGTTCCTTACAATTTCTACCAATTTGTTTCTATACATGTACATACATGGCAAAATGATAAATAAAACTTGAAACTTTACATTGTAGTTACATAAATATTACCATGGGGACAGAACTTATTTACAATTATATTATTTCAATTTCTTTGTTTGCTTTATTTTATTATAGTTTTATTTCTAAAGAACGAGATAGTTGCCAGGAAAAAGTAATTTTGATGAAAGAAGTTTTGCGTGCACTTTCAATTTTCTTCCTTCACTCGTTCTGATAGTGCAATGAAACCTTTCATTAATAGACACATACCTTGTACGAAGGACTGTGTTCATTAGCGAGAGTGCATTTGCTATTACCATGATTAATTATTTTGCAATGATAAAACAAGAGTTAATTGTCAATTTTTTTTTCTCTCGTGACATCAACCTATCAAAACAAACAATTCAATCACAGCAATGGTTGCGGATTTTTTGTTTTACTTATGTAAGTCCTGTAAAACCGGTGCAAAAACGCAAATATCCAGTAATGACATGAAGAAATACAAATAGTATTGTTAATTACCAAATGTAATTGATTACACTTGGTTGAATTCAAAGTTGGCTGTCTTCAGCAAGAAAGCTTTATTTCTTCTAAATTTCGATACTGTTGGTACTTCTGACTTTTAAGTATTTTTAAATGAAGTAATTCTTGCTTGTGTAATAGAAAATCAGAGCATAAAAAGAGAAAGAGCAAACTAAAAACATCTTAAGGAATTCAATTGATACCAACTTTTAGAAGAACATAAAATGCAAAGTTACTTTAATACAACAAAGACTTTAAATTTATCAATTTCTAAAACGGAACTGAAAACTGGTAGAGGACAATAACTGCAACGTCTTTAAAATAATAACTTTTTTATATAATAAAAATATAGATAACAGTTTAACAGAAGAATGGATTATGACATTTACAAGGAGGTTAAAAACGGAAAACTAAGACTTCCGGGAAGACTGTGTTATACTGATGATACAAAATATAAGACAAAATCCATTACCACTGACGAACAAGACTGTCTAGAGGGGTCCAAAATAAAACGAAGAAGATCTAGGAAAAGGAGGAACAGAAAAGCAAAGAAATCATCACAATCAGATTATACTGAAAATCAAAATAATATAGATGTTGAAAGTTGGAGTCAACTTGGAGACGACTTAAGACAGACGGACATTTGTAGGAGTTTGTCTGTTGACCTTATGAGGAATCATATGAAACGAATACAATCAAAAGCCAAACTCAATTCTTCAAAAGCCAGGGTTGATAGATATCTTCAAAAGTATATCGCTAAAGGAGGTGTTGTTAACATGTACGCACGTTATTAATTTCAATGTTTATACGCAAAACAATGCGTTTTCAATTCGTACGTTTTGGAGGAATATCATTACTTTGTTTACCATTAAATAACCGACAATGATTCATTGAAAACTACGTTTGTGAAAGTAAATAAAATCAGTTTGCACATGAAACATAATGTAAAGTTAGCTTCATGTTAAGAAATGTAGTATTGTAGTGTGCTAGGTATTAAGGAAAAGTCCAACGAAACATGCAGTTTGAGGAAAAGGCGTGCTGTATGTGCATTTTTTATGACGTAAACTAGTATATCTTAATATCACCTGCTTGAAATGATAATTGAATTTTTATTTTTATTTTGGATTTACAAAAAAAATGTATTTTATCAGGTACATTGGTCATTGTATGAAACTTCTGTCAGTTGCTTTATATAAAGATTCTTTTACACTTGAATATATTTGATAAAGGCTATAACAGATATGAAATCTAGAGGAATGTATACCAGTTAAGAAATTTCTCATTTTGAAATCCGATGATAGTCGGCTTTCATTGAATTTAAATGAAAACGGGTAACCCATTTATGGACAATATGGAATGATAATTTTTGTTGTTTCACTAAATGCTTGTTGACTAGTAAATGTACCTATTACTGTATGTTTCATCATCATTTATTACCAGTAGTTTTCTTTAATACCTAAGAAAATGCACCAGCTGTTATTATTATGAGGAAAGGGAATGTTGTTTTATAAAAACTATGTTTTACAAATAAAGGTTTTCATAATAACTCTTTAAATCGATGAACACATTTATTATTTCAGTTTTATAACAAGAATATTCTATTACATTTTATTTCCTCCTCTGAACGTCAAAAACATGTACGGAGGATATCGCACTTTGATGAATGTATTGTTGATTAACCAAAGATTGACTGGCATTTCAGACATGCCTTTTCTGACTTTTTAATAGTTTATATTACAGACATATAACAATATAAAATTAAATATCGACAAGGAAAAATGGCATTCGTGAAATGCAGCATAGTTTAAGAAATCATTTTCCAGCCAAATAAATGCAGCCAAGATTATATTGGTTGCAATAAAATAGGAAAGAGGCAAATTATCTGCACAATCATTCTACAAAAGTTGCTGTAGGCTTTATCCTTTGCTTAGTGGTGTTTTTAATCCTATTTATTTAAAGTTCTATCGTTTGTATATTTTCAGTTATGGAGACACCGGTGTTGACGTAACAACAGACGCCAGAGTACTATTCGACGCCGTGCGTCATGGCAAAAATCACCTCGTGCGGTTCATCCGGGGATGATCATGGGTTTGACTTTTCAACTACTATTTACAGAAAGCCCCGCTTAGGGCATCTTTATCCCAAATAAATAAATGAGATCTCACAAGAAGTATATACCTTATCAATCATGTATAATTAATTAGTGTTTCAGTATACCTGCACATCGATCGATTAAAGCTTAACGTCTGTAATTTACTGTGCTCTAAAGTTCAGGTTTAATGATGATTATTGATATACTACTTAAGATAACGTACATTATAGAAATGAGCATATAATGTCGTGGGCATCCTTTTAAAGCTACTACAACGGTGGCTTTTGCGTGTTTATCAAACCTTTGAAGGGACACCCTTGAGGATGTTTTGTTGTATTGTTTTTGTTTTGGGGTATTTTGACATGACGGTATCGAAAAAAAATATGATTCAATTTTATTTTACCATTTGATGTCGGTTTATTAATAATTATTTGTGTGCCAAATTTCAGATTACCAGCTGACTGAAAAAGTTCTTTTTGTACAAAATTACCTAAAAATAAAATTATGTTTCGAGCAATAACTAATATCGTTTCTCTTGCTTAAAGCAGAATCAGCAGTGAAACTTTCAAATTAGTATCTTTTATTGGTGAGTTTAAAGTTGCATGCCTCCTGATTAGCCAAAGAATTTCAAAAAAATCAAATTTTGAGCAAAACGTTCTAAGATTTTGAGAAAAAGTAAACAAATTCAAGATTCAAGTAGCAATTTACTTAAAATGTGCTATTAATAACTGATTTTGCACAATATTTATACTGCGTAATTTACACAATTAAGGCTATTTGTGCATATTTTGACTTCTTTTTTCTTTTCTTTTTCTTGAGGAGGGGGGTGGTTTGGGTATTTACGTGGCTTGTAATCTGTTAATCATTTTCTGTTCCCATCACACTATTTAACTTCTAAATACATTTTCAAAATGTTCATGAATTTAGCATTATCTTGAAGCATGCTGCTTTAACTTGATTAATTATTTAATTGTATACAAATTTAATATAAAAATAGTTATCGCTGTTGTTATACAATTCCAAAGAAACCCAAGCTAGCAATTTTCGTTTTTTTTTTTATTTATTTTTTAAAAAAAAATAAAAAATTTTCAAAAAAAAAAGGGTTTTTTTAAAAAATGTGACAATAGTGTATCAAATTTCATGAAGAGTGGCCGTTCTTAACAACAGTTTCAATATCCCAAATAATACGTAATAGCTACATGAAACGAGTTAGTTACGATGATATAACACTGGCTGGGGCGACATCAAGGGCTGTTTCTGCTTAGAAAATGGCGAGGCCGTAAGGCCGAGACAATTTTTTGCAGAAACATCCCGAGATGTCGCCCAGCCAGTGTTATATCCTCGTAACTAACGAAGTTTGATATACAATAACTGTTTAATCGCAATGGCATAATGTTTTTTTTTTTGTTATAGAAATAAATAAATCGTTAGCTCCATTACAGTTTATTTATAATAGGCAGTTTTTTTTTCTAGTTATTTCGCTGCCGCAAAAAAAAATATACAAAAGACATCCAATGTTAGAGGCGGTTGTAAACTGTTTACCAATATTGATTCAAGATTAAAGGATTTTTTTCAGTGGAAATAATTCATTCAGTGGCCGTACCTTTTGATTAAATGAGAGTAAATTTCATTTCATTAATTATCTTTGTTTATATTTTTCATTGTATTTATTTATTTATTTTATTTTATTGATTCCATTTTTTTTTTGGCTACTGGGAATGTTCGTTACCACTGCCCCAATGAAGCCTCTGTAAAAAAAACTACATTGATATATACAAGGTGCGGAAAAACTTTTTTCCTATATGAATCAATGAAAAAACTGTACTGCTATATATCAATACAGTTTTCAAATGCTCATTGAAGTGTACTGAGTATAATAGGTTAGTAAGAACAAAGGAAAAGTCCCCACTATGCGATCATTTATAATACATTTGACGTCTCTACAGCAACACCTCTCAACAACAAAAATCTTTGATCTCCTTAGGGCTTTTTCTACATAGGTGTTACTGTATATTATTGTTTTTGCAGGAGGAGGGTGCTCGAGATAATACAGTGAGATTACTATTACGTCATGGAGCTGACGTTAACGCAACGGATGACTGTGGACGAACGGCGCTCAGTTACGTCTGCGAAAGACGCTGTAATGATATTCTGAGAATTCTAATCAAAGAGCATAACGTCGATCCGGACATAACTGATACAAATGGTATACATTTTACTCATCATTACTTAATGAGATAATTTTTACCGTTCTGTAAAATTAAGTTTAATTACTATGACTTATGATGTCAAAATTAAAAATTTGAACATATTTTTCTCTTCTTCTTAAAATCAGATTTAAATCTGTTTTTTCTAAGTGTCATTAATTTTTTAAAGACATTGCGATGACCGTTTTTAAAAGAAGGAATGTTTACGAAAGTAGGGAAATTACTTGAATTTAACTTTTCACATTAAAATATGCATTAACGTTAAGAAAGAAAGAAAGAAAGAAAGAAAGAAAGAAAGAAGAAAGAAAGAAAGAAAGAAAGAAAGAAAGAAAGAAAGAAAGAAAGAAAGAAAGAAAGAAAGAAAGAAAGAAAGGAAGGAAGGAAGGAAGGAAGGAAATTGATAGGATTATATTAATCGAAACTCCTAGTGGTTGCAATAAAGCCGAAGAAAAAGAGCAGTACATTTACCATTAACTACTACTATATAACGTTTGTTTATGTATTGTATCTCAGCGTGTCATTTTCATCTTATTAGACGTAATAATCAGTGTCTTGGTAAAGAAGTTCATTGTCTCATCCATTAGCAGCAAGATAATTTGATAATACGTTATCTGGTCTCATATAAAAATGACATTCATATCTAATTTGCTGTCGTCAGTCTTGCGCTTGCGCATTAAGTTGATTGCTAGAATTTCAATTATACAAGTAGAAACGGCAATTCAATTATTACAAAGTCATTGTCGTACACTTGATACTGATATACGTTGTATTAATTCTATCAAACCAGATTGATAGGAGATGCAATCGTGAACGGATAGAATACATAGAAAATTAATCTCACTAAAAGCACGTAATCAGTTCTTATCGAGGTGTTTCATTTCATTTTGCAGGAAACACGCCTCTGATTTATAGCGCAATGGTTGGAAACGACATCGCATGTGATATTCTCATACGTCATTTCCGGCGCCTTGGTCTAAATATAGAAGCAATAAATGATGAAGGTTTCACGGCTCTACTTATGGCTGCAAAGCATGGAAATATTACATGTGCACAGATTCTTGTAGGTCAAGGCAAAGCGAGTACCCAACATCGAGATAAAAAGTATGGTTTATCTGTAGAAGAGTGGCTTGCAAAGAAAGGCTTCACTTTGCAAGATATAAAACCAGTTCGACAAGATGGGAAGGGTAGATCAAGATTTGTTAAGCTTGCAAATATCGCTGCTATCTGCTCGGCTCCAAAGAAACATGCTCAGGCAGCACCACCGTACGGAGAGATTGACTATCATTTGAATCGCTTCCAGCTTGGAAAAATTGATGACGATGATGATTTTTCTGATGCGACTACAGGGACAGATTTCTCCGCTGAGTCCATTTCAAGATATCTCAACAGATATAACGAACGCTATAATGACCTTGAACTTGACTTTGCCCAAAAACATTATAAGATTTATCCATATCGTGAAAACAGTCGACCAAAACTTAAAACATCGTCAACACAGACACAATGCGATGAAGGAGATGATGACGACAATGAGAATGCTGTGATTCAGAACGATGATGGTGACGATAGAGCTACTCTTGTTACTGTAGCAGAAACCGCAAAAAGTGACGTTGGTACAGAAATTACAGTTTTACATCACGATTCACGATATCACCTTGATAGGTCAAAAGTAAAGAATTCAAACAAGACGAAATCCGCCGAAGGAAAATCAAAAGCTCGATCAATGGAGAAGATTCAAGAATTGGGCAAAGACGGAAAGCGATTATCTCTGCCTGAAATTGAACATACGCCTATGGTTTCCCGCTCAGAGGGTGGAAATGGTGAAAGGAAACGATCATTAGATGTTCTCCCTGAAAAACTAATTGCAAGCATCGAACTAGGTGACGGCAGACGGCAGTCGATACAGCTTCATACAGACACTATCAATAACAAAGTGTATTGGTCCCCGGTGGCTGATGATAAATCTGACGACGGCTCGGAAAGGAATCTGACGCCATTAAAGTTTGAACGCGGTTCTGTTTCGGACAGTGAAACTTCCATGACCGAGGATGGTCCTATTTTTCAATAGTTACAAGTGAGCCGTATTGGGACTGCGTTGCAAACAAAAGTGCCAATGAAGAGTGTAGCATGATATTTGACAGTTCTTTCTTATAATGTTTTATCTTATATTTATGATGTTGGTTATGATATGATGAAAAATAATGTGCTATAATCAAATCATGCTTTTGTAAGACGTGATTTTCAATGTCAAGAAACGTTTGATTGTTTTACATCATTTGTTATATAATTTCATAATATTATATTTGAAACATCACGAGTAATTGCTACTTTATTAAAACTGCGTAAGTACACAATTTTTATTTTAAGTGCGCAGTTTTTATTTTTAACTATGGTTAGTACTTTAAAAATTATGTAGTAATAAATTGTTTAAGTAAGATACATGTTAATGCCATACCGACATGACCTGATAAATAATCTTTTCATACTTATTTTGTTTCTGAAACTTTAACAGTTTTATTGTCGGATATTATGAGTATGGTATTTGCCATCAAATCCTTGATAACTTTCAAATATTTAATTTATTACATGTTGAGTATTACGTTATCTCAAAAGTTTTTATCCTTGTTAAATATTATTATTATTTCACATTCACAGTTCTATATAACACTTGGTTACAGTGCAATGGTTGCTATTTCCTTACATTTAAATAAAATTATTTCATTTACTAACATTGCATATCTTTCATTGATGACTTAATTTAACAAGAAGATTCGTTGATTGTCGTCAGTTTTGCGACAGTTTGGAACAGTGCAGCTGAAAAAACACGATAATCTCCCTCTGATAACAAGGAGAAAAGCCTAATATTCTAATATTCAACCTAATCTCCTGGTTGGTCACATGTTGGTTATTATCAAATGTTATCCTAAGCCTTTATGCGGCAGATGATTCTATAAATGCAACAAATGCAGATCAAGATCAGGCGAAACATCCATGCCGAATGGTCATGCAATATTCATCTTTGATTGATTAATTTTATGACAATTGTTTTGCCATGCAACATGCATGTGAACTGTACTCGTTACGACTGATTATTGCTCGGATTTTAATCAAATATTACAATATAACCCATTTTATTTGTTATTGTAATCGGTACGCATACAGTTGTCAAATAATTTATTGTATGAATTAGTTTCATCAACAATTGAGCGTGTTCTAAGAACTAAACCATCGAATTAGTTTTGACTTAATAATTTTACTTTTAAGCAAAAATAAGGAAAGTAATGCACCTACACAAAATAACAGAAAGGAGATTTGAAAGTGAAAACAATTCATCAATATATTTGTGTCCTAGACTGTTAAAAGTTAATGAAGAATGTTTTTGTAATTCTTGCACGGCATCAATTGGTTTCAACAAAACTGCAGCTGTTTAAGATTGCTTCACATGGTTTTTATAGTCTTGACTAATCAATGATTTTGTCAAAGTAATACTATTCCATCGTACTAGTAATTGCTAATGAATAATGGGTTGTGTTTTTCACAGATAATTTTTTTTCTCCCTGTTTGTTCATTGTTAAATAAAACAATTTATTCATTATACATTTCTTTAAACGAACGTTGTAACAGTTATATTTTTATTACTTTATATAAATATAAACTAATTGCCATTTTCAATCAGTGTTATGTAACTTTAACTTTTTAAATGTCACGTATTAGCCATACACAATTTTCCTGTAAGTCGATGACATCTTTTGGTTGTAAATCAGTTTGGAGTGGAACTTTATAAGATTTGATATATTTTGTTCTAATCCATTTCCACAGCGAAACTGTATATCACGTATTGTATGTTCTGGAATAACTGTATGTTCTGTTTAAACTAAAAACAATTTATATAATTTCGTTTCGCATAGATTGTTAAAACTGTTGTTCAAATTTGAAAGGTTTTACGAGTAGTACATTAATAAAGATGTATGAAAAATTTGTTGGCTAATAGAAAGAAGACAACCTTCTTTCCGTGTCAACTGATTAAATGCAAAATGGGATAATATGAAAAAAAATCAAAACGATATTTCCCTTTTAAATTAGTTGAGAATACCCAGGCCATTGTAATTTAATTAAAATATTGGGAATGCATCGATGCTTTCGGAATTTATAAATGTCTTTGATGGTTAAATATTATTCTGATGTTACAATAGAATTTGAAGGCTTTAACTCATTGATTGAAGTTTAGAAACCAATTACTTTTCGAAATTGAATGAAGAGATAATAGCGTGATAGTTTAAAGTTCCATTCATTTTTTATCCCTCTTCATGAGTGATTATTCCAGGAATTGAAACAAATTGTTTCAACAAATTTTAAATGCACCTTAAATCAAGTTAGTGTCTTGGAAAAGCGGAAGACATGATTTATAAAATTTGGAATGTAAAAATTATCTTTTTATTATTTTATAATTAAGTGTTTAAATAATTAATAAATCTAAGATACACTCGAGAATTAATTGAAAAATAGTTAACACATATTTTTGTAAGCATTTATTAATAAAAAAAACATTCCAAAGCGTATTTAAACACATGGTTATAGTTGACATATTTTATATTATATATAAATTATTAAAATTTATTCATCGATCAAATTATCGATGTAACTCATTTTTTTTTATTTTTATAAAATGTGTCCAGTTATTATCTTAGGCAAGAATGTTATAATGATAGTTTTGTTTCATATAGGCTTGTCATGAGAGAATTGTTGCATGGATGGTTTTTTATTCTTTTTTCTGTTGCATTGGTTTTATTAAAATCATCATTTAAACTTTATTAAATGTCACCATATTGATGAGTGTTTACTATTATCATAAAAGTCATGAATGAGATGAAATTTGATTTTGAATTTATTTAGAATTAAACATAATATGCACATTCAAGAACATGTATACGCTGTTATAAATTTAATAGTTTTTAATGGTTTATGTACGGCTATTTATCATCATAGAATAATTGTTCCTAGATGTTTAACCTACTATGATATAAATTAAAAGCTTTTCAAAGAGATTTAAGATCTCTGTAAATTTTAGGTGATCACAAATTAGGACTTAATATTAGGACTCAATAAACACTGAATGTTAATAAACATTTTTTTAAATACTTATTTTTTCAAAGATAACTGTTATCAAAAAAATCTTGACCAAGATAAATGACAAAGGCACTTGTTTTAACACGCCTAATTGTGTGATCATTTAAACCTTATTTTGTAATAACATCTTATGAGACATTTTATTTTTTGTTTCAAGAAGCCCTTACCTCGGCAGCTTATCTGATAATCAAAAATTATTTAAGAAGCAGTAAGAAACATAGTCGCGCCTTTTATGTTGTACCATTTTTCCTTTGTGTATTAAATGTAAATGACATCAATTGGTTTGGTTGGTGTTAGAAAACAAACAAATTAGCTGGTTTAACTTGTTTGCAAAATACTAGCGTGTATGGATACTTAGAATTTACGTTTATAGTGCAGTGCCATTTCTCATAAGTTCATTAAGTGAGTTTCATCTTTTAATTGATGAATTCTTTGAAATTTTCATTTCACTTCGTCGAAAAAATATCTTAACATTCATATGTGAATTTGCTTGATGTTTTGAATCAAATGAACATGAAGATTCATGAGCTCGTCAACATATGGTGATAGACAAACTTGATGAGTTTGAATGGCTACAAAAAAGGAATTTGACAGCATTGATGAAAAGATGTAAATATTGAAGACTTTTTTGGATGATGCAAGAGCCACTCAACTCAACACAGTGAAAATAACGTAATAATATACAATGTAAAATTTTATGACTATTGAAAATTCATGTTGTGAAAATTTAGTGATGTTATAAAAAAACAAAAGTGTAATTATGTTAAAAATATTTGTGTGCTTTCATTATTTTTAATCGCTACTTACTAAATTTTGTGTGCATGTTTGAAGATGGTTGCAAGTCAATAGAAAAGATTTGGTGTAATTTACGATTAAAATCTTGTACATTTTTCAGATATTTCATTGCTTGTGTGTTTACACAATCAATACATATCTGGAAAAATAAATGTTATACAGTGATTATTTCAGTGATTATTTCAGTGATTATATTGTAATACATTTCATTTAAATAGATGACACACTCCTCTGACAAGGTTAAGCGAACACTCACATATTTTTCGCCACTCGTTTACCAAACAAATACTGAAATATATAAATATGTTTTGCAATTTAAATGTAGATTTCATCACGATAAAATTTTCACTTTTATTTCGGACATTTTAGTAAATATTTTTGTAAAGCAGTTAGCACATGTGTTGATACTCTTGAAATTATCCACTAATTGAATATTTGCTGTGATTTGTTTCTTCTTGATTTTACATTGATAAATTAGTAAGACTGTGACGATTTTATTAGGTTGTACCATGCGACATGTAACTCATTTATAGTTATTGTCACGCACTTCTGTACAATAAATGATATGATTGCAATAATTTCAGCGGAACATACATATTATGCCACTATGACATTCATACATTCACTCTTTTTATAACGTTAAGTATGAAGGATGTAGGAAGGATGTCGTGGGCTTTTATTGTTGTACTTCACTTAAGTGAACTTTTGGGCGACATTTTTTGTGCAATACACCCTTACACAATGTTGATAATATGATCACATCACCTTGTAATTGTTTTGTTCGTTATTAAAATTTTGTACAGTTATATGTGTTGTTGACTTTGTAAAAGATCCAGAGGTTCGTATATTCTTATGTTAAAGATAATAAAATATTTAAACTTGTTTTAAATGAATCTTTTCAGGGCGGACCATATAAGGTGTCACAATTGTCAAATCTTTATGTACTATATTATGCAATATATTACATTTAATATCTAATTGGAGCACCGGAGAAATACTTAGATTATGATAGATAGGGGAATCTTCATTTGAAACCTATAAAAAGTGATTTACCCTTGAAATGTTAAAGATTAATGTAATAAATAAGTAACGATCAGAAAATTTCAGAAGAATTTATTTATTTCTAGAGCTATAAAATTGAATAACTCTAAAGATTCAGTATGTTAGTTTAAAAATATTAAATGACGTTAAGTTATGTTTCCTCATACCGGTGATTATAATTTTTGTGACACTACAATACCCAAAGCTTTGGTATTTAACATGTGATTATTTGCTAAAAATCTGCTCCTCCAAAACTGAAAAGACCAGCGCAAAGACAGCATCACCTTGTAATACACTACAAACGTTAGTAGATAAATCTAATACATTGTGTCCAAGAAAGATCTCCTCTTAGTGTCACTTTATAAGTTTATAAAGACTTAGTTTAGAAAAAATCTTTTATACTCATATTAACATATATAATTAAGCATGAAGCAATATCTTATGAACCACTACAAAAACATAATTGATGCTCCTCAAAATATGCCTCACAATGGAGTCAAGAGAGTTATATTGTAAACGTAGTTCAAAGTTCAACTTCAACTTCTATGATACTAAAATGTCCATGACATAGATGTTTCGCATTTAAAATCACCTAATAGTTCTCTACATCGTTTTTAAATAGATCATGTCACTCGGATCAAAATTGGTTCCACACTCGAGATCACTTTCTTTATTTAAACTTGGAAACACATTTACATTTTGTGGGAAGCAGCTGTGCACATAGCTTTGAATTATGTCATGTTGAATGGACAAGAAGTAGACGACGACAAAATTTAAGTTAACAATGACCTTAGGAACAAAATTGAAACACCATTATTACAAAGAATAGCAGTGTATCTCCGACGAGCGATCAGTCGTAATATGATGCACATTCCGTTATGGAACGATATGTCATAATTTTACCAATTTAATTACAGAAGCATTATCCCATAGCCAATTTATGTATGTTATTTCTGATTTAGAATATCTCAATTATTTGTTATATTTTTCACAACAACTTTTATCTGCATTGCGTGCAATGTCAATTTAAAACCCCTAAAGAATCATATTGAGACGATTTGTTTTGTAGTTTGATTCAATTTACATACAAACTAGGTCAACAAATACGGGAATGCTTTTTATCAATTATATTTCTCCTAAAATATGAAAAACAAGATCAACAAGGAAAGGCGGCGTTCAATGAACGCAACCCCCATATGACCCAGCAACAAGAACCAATGGCAAGGAGCCCAGGCGGACCCCAAACATAAAAAGGACAGGGCAACGACACGTTAATCAATAAATGATAAATAATTTGTAACTGATTAGGAATTCAAAGAAAATAATAATAGGCCCACAAAGGGGAAGGGGACAGGAGACCTAAGTTATGTAATGTTCGTAAAATATCAGTTATGTTTAGTTATATAAAATTGTTTTGTCAATTGACAATTTAAGTAGTTTATGCTTTATCGCTTCTTGTAGACTTAACCAGAGAGAAATGAAACAAAAAATATAGGTTTGCACTAAATCAACCAACAGGCGGGAGTCTCTCATATGTATCACCTAAATCCGTACTATTATCAATACTATAAAAAGAAACTTACAACATTTTCAATTTTGGCGTGTTGTTCTTTCTTTAGGGATTCTTATTTTCTCTATTTTACAAACAAGATTGGTTAACTGTTCAAATGTGTTCAAATATGAATGCAACTTGGCCAAAATCTCGCTTTTAACCACGTTTTGCGCGAACTATGTACATGAATGGCATAGATGGTTGTGTAAGCTCTCAATTAATACAATACATGTGTAAATCGGTGAAGTCTAGCTTTGTCAATAGCTCGATTTACGCTATCTACTCGTGTATACTAAAGCAAAAGGTCTCCTTTCACTGACAAAATACGGTCTTATATCAAAAACTGCTATATTATTGGTATACAGGCGAAAGACATAATAAATGAAATATGACGTGTTTATGGTAACAATAAACATTCTTTTTCATCTGCCACACGGTGGTGTAAGAAATTTAAAAGTGGTGTTTATTCAGTAAAAGAT